GGGGTCGAGCGCGTGCCGGCCTGCCCACGGCAGGCCCAGAGGCGCGTTTTCTGTCAGTTGTGAGAGTCGCGCGGCAGCTGCTCTCGCTGCCTGAAATGCCTGGGCCGGGCCTGTCGCCGTGTGGACGGGTGAGCGTGCCCTCAAGGGCCGTGGCTACTTGCCGCTTGGCCACCGCTGAAGCTAAGGCGCGGGGGCGGCCCCCGTCATGGGCGGTGCTCAGGAAGGGCCCTGGCACCTGCTCGCTAGATTTTCCAGAAATGCTTTTGAGTCGACCATTCCATCATGCCCGGGTCCATCCTCAGAGCCACTTTGAGTTTTCAGAACTGCTCCGTCCCAGGGGTGTCGCCTGCGCCGAGCCCCCTGGGCAGCCGAGAGCTGAAGTCTGTTGTTTATTATCTCGGCTGGCAACCGGGGAAGGCTGCCTGGGGAGGAGGGTCCCCGAGGGCCAGGCCCCAGGAAACCCGGCTCGCTGAAGGAGGCGCGTCGGGCCGCCTCACGCAGAAGATGGCCAGCCGCAGCTCGCAGGGAGGAGCCAGGCCGGGAGCAGGGCGGAGGGCAGCGTGGCCGAGCTGGGAGCAGGGCGGGCCGTGGGCTGCACTTGCTGCGGAGGCGGACAGGTAGGGCTCGGGGCGGGCTGCGGGCGTGGACGCCCTGTCGCTGGACTCAGCCTGTGGTGACGGAAGGACGGCGGGCGGCCTGGACGAGGGGGCCCAGCGCTGTGCGTCCTTGGGCATGTTCGTGCCCATAAAGCTGCGGGGGGCTGTGAACTGAGAAGTGGGGCTGGCACGGGCGACGGCCTCCTGTTGGCTAAGCTCAGTGGAAACGGGTGGCCCAGCCCGAATGGGGGCAGCAGGGACTTGATGTCAGCCCCAGCAGGCCGCACTCCCACGGCGCAAGACGCACGACGGGCGGAGGCACGGCGCCGAGGGCCAGGGTCACTCGACCTAGCTGCCCGCGGGGCCGGACCCCCCACCCGCAGCCCGGGCTCCTCGGGTCAGCCGAGACGGGAGCCCTCAGCGGCTGGGCCCCGCCGGAGCCCGGGTCCTGTCCGAGGACCCAAGAGCAGCTGTGAGCAGAGGAGGACGAGGCTGCGGTCTGTTCGGCGGGAGCTGAGGGGGCAGGGCCGACCCCTGGAGCGGCCGGAGGGTGCAGGGCAGGTGGGCCCTGGCGCAGAGTGGACACCAGGCAGCTGGGCCATTGCCAGCCAGGGCGGGGCGGGGCCTGGGGCTGTTTCCGCTGTTTGCGGAGTGCGAGGGTGGTGGGGGAGCCCAGGGCCCGCTGCAGCCCCCCAACCCGGCGCCCGGCACCCCCGCGCCGGCTTTGCGCCCTGGCCCCAGCCCAGCACGCAGCTCACTGTGGCAGCTGCTCTCTGGCCACTTTGCCCCGAGGAAGGCGGGGTGGGCATGGGTGCAGGGGGCTGGCGCTCCTGGGGGGATGTGGCTTAATTTGGGTGAGATCGAACCAAGTGCTGGGCCCAAGGGCAGCCAGAGCCAGCGCAGGTGGCCTCCCGGGGAGGGCAGAGCGGGCAGGCACCGCCCAGGGGCCCCCAGGGGGACAGGTCCCGGGCAGGGGGCCTGGGACTCCGGCTCCCCGCCTGGCGAGTGCACTTCAGGCCGAGGGCCTCCTACTGGGGCCCCACCCCAGCCTGGGGTGCCGAGGGAGGCTGCGTGACTCGCGCTCAGTCCTTGCTGAGGGAAGGCCAGGGATGGCGGACGGGTGCTGGCTTTGTCCACAACTAGGTTTGGCCTTGAAAAAATAATGGCCAGGGACACGCAAGTGTGATGACTGAGCTGGGCAGGAAGGGGCCAGCGGAGGTGCAGCCTTGCTCAGCACTGCCCCCCACGCACGCGCTCGGACGCTTGGAGCGCCGGGGAGGTGTCCACAAACACTCGGAGGGCAGAGCGCCCTCCCGGGCGGGGAGATGGGCAGGCGTGGCCGCTTTCCGGATGAGGCTCACCTGGGGGAGGACGGGGCCCGGGCCCCAGGTGTGCCGGTCTCCTGCTCGTTTGCAGGAGACCGCGGCCACTCATGTCGCCTCGCCTCTGGCTTAGTGAGCCTTTCTCACCGGTGGCGTTGACCCTGAAACTTCTGGATCTCAGAGCGAGGCTTGCTGAGGCGCCGCCCCGGCCGAGCGCCCCTCGCCCAGGGGTTGGCGCCGCAGAGCCTCGCAGGCAGGCAGGGCCGCACCGGCGGGCTGGCAGGGGACTGCCACGCCTTGCTGCAGCGCGTCTCCAAGGTCTCTTCCCCCTCCCCCAGGCAATGGAGCCCCCAAATGTTTCTGCAGTCACTGAGTTTCAGCTGCTGGGGTTCCAGAACCTTCTCGAGTGGCAGTCCCTGCTGTTTGCCATCTTCCTGTTCATCTACGTCCTCACGGTGCTGGGGAACGTGGTCATCATCGCCGTGGCGAGCCACGACCGGAGGCTGCACACGCCCATGTACACGCTCCTGAAGCACCTGTCCTTCCTGGAGGTCTGGTACACCTCCACGGTGGCGCCGCCGCTGCTCGCCAGCCTGCTGTCCTGGGGCCGCGCCATCTCCTTCCCCGCCTGCATGGCCCAGCTCTACTTCTTTGTGTTCTTCGGGGCGACCGAGTGCTTCCTCCTGGCCACGATGGCCTATGACCGCTACCTGGCCATCTGCAGCCCCCTGCGCTACTCCCTGCTGATGAGCCCCGAGGCCTGCGCCAAGCTGGTGGCGGTCTCCTGGGGCACGGGGGTGGGCACGGGGGTCCTGCCCTGCCTGATGATCTCCAGGCTGGACTTCTGTGGCCCCAACAGGATCAACCACTTCTTCTGCGACCTGCCCCCGCTGATGCGGCTCTCCTGCTCCAGCGTCTACGTCACCGAGAGGGTCATCTTCGCGCTGTCCGTCGCCGTGCTGTGCGTGTGCTTCCTCCTCACCCTCGTGTCCTACGTCTCCATCGTGGCCGCCATCCTGAGGATCCCCTCCGCCTCCGGCCGCGCGAAGACCTTCTCCACGTGCGGCTCCCACCTGGCAGTGGTCACCATCTACTATGGGACCATGATCTCCATGTACGTGCGCCCCAATGCCCACCTGTCCCCTGAAACCAACAAGGTCATTTCCGTCTTCTACACCATGGTCACCCCGCTGCTGAACCCCATCATCTACAGTTTGCGGAACAAAGACTTCATAGAGGCTGTTAGGACAGTGATGAGGAGGAAGTGCGGCGTCTGCGGCCCCAGAGCGAAGGGCAGCTTCTCGCTCGGGTGAGAACGGTCACGGGCCACTCGCGCCCGGTGCGGGCAGGGGCCCCGGCACCGCCCTGGGCTGCCCCGCTGGGGGCCGCCCCCTGCCCCTCACTGCCCAGCGCCCTGCAGACCCCGCGGTCCTCACGGTCTGTCCTCCGGAGGCTTCTGGCCCCCGGGGGCTGCGCGCCCCATGCGCCACGGCCCTGTTCCACGTGGGTCCCTGGGTTCGTGAGGCTTTGTGGGCAGAAAACCACCTTTCAGCCCATGGGGGCCGTCCCCGAGATGCGCCCCCCAGTGCCGTCGCTTCCTATGAATGTCTGGAGTGAAGGCGTGGGAGAGGGAAGGCGAGAAGTGCTTGGTGGACTCCCTAGTGGCCAGACACACAAAGGACTTTAAAAATGCCAAAGATTGGTCTATAGTAGCTTAGATTTTGGGGGGCTGTTCTTGTTGAAAATTTTTAGGAAAGGA